GATTGGTTCAAAATTGGGAAAGGAGTACGACAAGGCTGTATATTGTCACCCTGCTTATTTAACTTATATGCAGAATACATCATGCGGAAGGCTGGACTGGAGGAATCCCAAGGTAGAATTAAGATTGCAGGAAGAAATATCAACAACCTCCGATATGCAGATGATACCACTCTGATGGCGGAAAGTGAGGAGGAATTAAGAAACCTTGTAATGAGGGTGAAAGAGGAGAGTGCAAAAAACGCTCTGAAGCTCAACATAAAAAAAAAACTAAGATCATGGCCACTGGTCTCATCACCTCCTGGCAAATAGAAGGGGAAGATATGGAGGTAGTGACAGATTTTACTTTCTTGGGCTCCATGATCACTGCAGATGGTGACAGCAGCCACGAAATTTAAAAAATACCTGCTTCTTGGGAGGAAAGCAATAACAAACCTAGACAGTATCTTAAAAAGCAGAGACATCGCCTTGCAAACAAAGGTACGCATAGTCAAAGCTATGTTTTTTCCCAGTAGTGATGTATGGAAGCGGGAGCTAGCCCATAAAGGCGGCTGACCACAGATTAATTGATGCTTTAGAATTGTGGTGCTGGAGGAGACTCTTGAGAGTCCCCTGGATTGCAAGGAGAACAAACCGATCCATTCTAAAGGAAATCAACCCTGAGTGCTCACTGGAAGGACAGATCCTGAAACTGGGGCTCCAATCCTTTGGCCATCTCATGAGAAGAGAAGACTCCTTGGAAAAGACTTTGATGTTGGGAAAGTGTGAAGGCAAGAGGAGAAGGGGACGACCGAGGATGAGATGGTTGGACAGTGTCATCGAAGCAACCAACAGGAATTTGACACAACTCCGAGAGGCAGTGGAAGATAGGAGGCCCTGGCGTGCTCTGGTCCAGGGGGTCACGAAGAGTCAAACATGACTAAATGACTAAACAACAAATACAACAACAACTGTTGACTTAAGGCACCTGTGTTTTAATTCATTACAAGGTGAAATTCATTTCCAGGACTCAGTCCACCACGTTTGCCCTCATACGGGCCCTCCTCTCACCACCATCTGTGCATAGCTCAAATATGGGAGGAGCAAGGAGACCCCCCTCCACCTCCACGCAGGCCTTTCCGTAAGTGCCCTGGCTTTTGCCACATGGTGCGGATGGGAGAGCTGCAAACCGGGCCGGGAGCGAAGGTTCCTTCTGGAGGTCACCAGGGCCTTGGCTGAGGAGGAGGAAACATCCCACCAGGAAAGCTTCCCCATTAGGTCATCGGTTGGGATTGTGAGGTCCCAGCTCTGTTACGTTTTGACAAAGGCATTCCTCCCACTGATTCCATAGGTCCAGATGGTTTTTTCTGACCAGCTCTGTGTTGATGTGGCTTTTCTCTCAGAGACACTGAGTTTCGAATGAGAAGCTGGGCTTTTTCTCCAGTACAGTCCTGTTGGCCCTCTCCATGCATATGTGGCCAGGTTCAGACCGTGTAGGGCTCGGTAAACGTGGCCGGGCTGGTCCAGGATGAGGGGAGCTGCAGTCCCACAACAACCAGAGAGTCACAAGTTGACCTCCCTTGTGCTTGTACACCCAGAGGGCAAAGCTGGCTTCCTCCTCTCACCTCCTCTCTTTGTTCCTTTTCTCCCCTCCTCGCTTCCTTCCCAGAATGCGGCGTCGGCACCATTGGAGACACATTTTCGATCTGGCAGCCATGTCACCTTTCTGCACAGGCCAAGGAATCGATCACCCTCCCTTGCAAATTCAGCTACTCCTGGAAGGTTCCCCCAAATCCAGAAATCTGGGTCTACTGGCGTTTGGGATCGTTTCACAGCCAGACCTACCTGTTCAATCACACGTCACAGAAGCTGTACACCCACAAAAACTTCTCAAGACGGGTCTCTCTGGTTGGAGATCCAGAGAAGAAGCATGAGGCTTCGATCCAAATTGGCAGCCTATCGGAGTTGGACAGCAATATCTATTTCTGCCGTATTTCTGTACAGACGGAAAAAAAGAGGAAGACATGGCAGTCCATCAAAGGAACAAACCTCACAGTCACAGCAGGTGATTGCATACCACACCTTGATCTGGACCCCCCCTCTCTATGCAGCCCCCTGCCACTCTCTCCATAAGTCATTCCCAGAAGGGGCACTTTCCTCCCAGGCCAGTTGGCTTGAACCCCAGCCTGAGAGGGTGGGTGGGTGGGCTTAGGGAGCATGTGTAAGCTGCAGGTCTCCGCACCCATCTGAATGGGCCAGCTGTTGGAAAGAGAGTAGAACTGACCCTTTGGTACCATCTGGATGCCTGGCACTGTTTTGGGCTGTAGGATGGAAGATGCGTTTTCTCACACGTTATGTTGAGTAAGTCCTGGTTTTAGTTTGGCTTGCGTATGTTCTCTCTCTTTCTCTGTTCCAGCTGCCCCGACACAACCCTACAGCATTCTTGGTCTGGTGGTAGGACCAATTCTCTCCATAATGGCTATCTCTCTTGTGCTGATGATGTACCTCAGCTGGAAAAAAGGTAGTACAGACACAGTCACTGGGAGACATAGAGAGAGCGGGGATTGGGGTGGGTGGAGACTCTGGTCCTGGAAATCCTTGTCCTTCTGACCTGGACTTCACAAGAGAGCTCTTCATCCGGAGCAACATGTCCTCATCACCAAGAGAAAGGTGACATTAAAATGAAATAAATACAAGTCTGCTTGGCCCCCCCAGACTAGCCATAATAGACTAGAGTGGTCTGGTAGTCCAGATAGGCGGGGTATAAATCAGATTATGATTATGATTATGATTATGATTATGATTATGATTATGATTATGATTATGATTATTATTATTATTATTATTATTATTATTATTATTATTATTATTATTATTATTATTATTATTATTATTATTATTATTATTATTATTATTCGAAAGAAGGCTCTACATCTGCTAATATCTGAACATGGAGCTGCTATTCTGTCCACTTGCTTTGTGAGAAATTAGCCAGTTCCCATCTTCTAATGTTTTAATTAATGAACAAATTCAGAGGAGTGCCTGCCTTATTCAATTATTTATTTACAATATTTGTTCCCTTTTGACAAAGTGCCCCATGATATTCTGATTAGCAGGCTAACTAGGTATGGACTGGATAGATCAACTGTCAGGTGGATTCAGAATTGGCTAGAAAATCTTACGCAGAGGGTGATGATTAATGGCTCCTTCTCTAACTGGAAGGAGGTAACAAGTGGGGTACCCCAAGGCTCAGTACTGGGCCCAGTGCTCTTCAATATTTTTATTAATGACCTGGATGAGGAAGTGCAAGGAATGCTTGTCAAATTTGCAGAATATATGAAATTGGGCAGAATAGCTAACAACCTAGAAGACAGAAACAAAATTCAAAATGATCTTGATAGGCTGGAGTATTGCGCTGGAAACAACAGAATGAAATTCAACAGCGATAAGTGCAAAGTACACATGGCATCCTTCAGTCTCGAAAGACTATGGTATTGAGGACTTGGAACAGTGTCTAGTGTGGCTGAGAAGGCCAATTCGAGAGTGACAATCCCTTCCACACTGAAGACAAATCCAATCTGTCCCCTGTCCAGCTCCCTGATTTTGCTGCTTTTGTAACTGCCTCTTTGCCTTGGCCTGCTGGACAAGGGTCTCTTCAAATTGGGAGAGGCCATGATGCACTACCTGCCTCCAGGCTGAATGCTCAGATGTCAAGATTTCCCATCTGTTGAGATCCATTCCTAAGGCCTTCAGATCCCGCTTGCAGATGTCCTTGTATCAAAGCTGTGGTCTCCCTCTGGGGCGATTTCCCTGCACTAATTCTCCATACAGGAGATCCTTTGGAATCCGACCATCAGCCATTCTCACGACATGCCCAAGCCAACGCAGACGTTGCTGTTTCAGTAATGTATATATGTTAAAAATTCCAGCTCGTTCTAGGACTACTCTATTTGGAACTTTATCCTACCAAGTGATACCAAAAATGCATCGGAGGCAACGCATATGGAACATGTTCAGCTTCCGTTCCTGCCGTGCACGAAGGGTCCAGGACTCACTGCAGTACAGGAGTGTGCTAAGGACACAGGCTCTATAGACCTGGATCTTGGTATATGTCGTCAGCTTCTTATTGAGCCATACTCTCTTTGTGAGTCTTGAGAACATGGTAGCTGCTTTCCCGATGCGTTTATCCAGCTTGACATCTAGAGAGAGGGTGTCAGAATATGTCATGAGTGCATCCGAAGACCTGGAACCAGCAGGGTTAACTGTGGCTGAAGAGAATGCTGAGAGATCAGAAACACCTGAACCGCCTCCAGATTCTCCTTCCACAGCAGACAAGCTTCGGGCCAGGCTTCGGGAAAGACTTAGGTCAAGGAGATCAGAGGATCGCTCGAAGGCTGTCCACAGAAACCTACGTTCATCTAGTACTGAGTATTAACAGGATAGAAAGCTTTCCAGCAACTCAAGGAGCTGTTTTACTATAAAACAGCTCCCAGTAAAGCCAGAAATTCTATGGAAGCAAAGAGTCAAAACCTTGGCTTGCATCCACGCTTCTTGAACTGTGTTCCTGACTCTGGACTCTGCCCCTGGACTA